CTAAACCCTAAACCCCAAACCCTAAACCCTAAACCCTAAACCCTAAACCCTAAACCCTAAACCCTAATCTAACCAGGGTGCAGCCTGTTTTGACTGCCTGGTCCTTCTCTATAACGTGGCACTGCGCGCAGTGTTTTTTGAAGAGTAAGCGGCCCCGAACCACGTCGCCTGAAACCACAAACCCTAAACCCTAAACCCTAAACCCTAAACCCTAAACCCTGAAACTTAAACCCTAAACCCTAAACCCTAAACCCTCGATACCCACCAGGAGGCAACACAAAGTCGTCCGGTACATCGTCGTCGTCGAACTTCTTCCAGCGAGACATTCTGCACGCAAACCCTAAACCCTAAACCCTAAACCCTAAACCCTAAACCCTAAACAACAAGCCTGCTGGACTGACCCCAAAGCCTTCGTGCCGATGTACGCACCCTAAACCCTAAACCCTAAACCCTAAACTATAAACCCTGAGGGTTTGTCTAGATGCGACTCACCTGTTGGTGTGTGCAGTGTACAGAGGCCGTTGCTCTCCCTTCTAGGGTTTAGGGTTTAGGGTTTAGGGTTTAGGGTTTAGGGTTTAGCGGTTTGGGTCTCCGCAGCTCAAGTGCAGCCAAAAAAAAACCGAGTTATAGCTCGCTAGCCCTTTTGCTAGAGGGTTTACAATCTAGGGTTTAGGGTTTAGGGTTTAGGGTTTGGGGTTTAGCGCCTGAACCTCAGCCTCTGCAGTTGAGGGTTTAGGGTTTAGGGTTTAGGGTTTAGGGTTTGAGGATGTGGTTATAGAATACGCCGCGATATTCTGCTGCAAAAAAACGTCAAAAGAACTTAAGCTGGTGCAGGAAATCTAGGGTTTAGGGTTTAGGGTTTAGGGTTTAGGGTTTAGGGTTTAGGGTTTAGGGTTTAGGGTTTAGGGTTTAGGGTTTAGGCCTGGGCACTGACGCCGCCGCCGAGCAGCACTGAAACCCTCAGAGCTAAACCCTAATTTTTTTAGTTATAATGGAGGCAAAAAGATATAAAATATAGAAATGAGGGTTTAGGGTTTACAATTAGGGTTTAGGGTTTAATATTTTGGCTCATTGTCTAGGGTTTAGGGTTTAGGGTTTAGGGTTTAGGGCCCCCCATAACCCTCCGTGCATGCTGACTGGAGGGGTAGACCCCTCTAGAGACCCAAACCCTAAACCCTAAACCCTAAACCCTAAACCCTAAACCCTAAACCCTGATTATGGCTGTGTGCAGGGTTTACGCTCTTGCCCCTTTACTGTGGGGTTGGCGGTGCCCGAAAGGGTTTAGGGTTTAGGGTTTAGGGTTTAGCGTAGCAGCGGGCTCAAACCCTAAACCCTAATATTCTCTCCTGGGTTGTGTGTGCAGCTAGCCCCAGCTAGCCACGGCTAGCTGCAGCTAGCTGCAGCTGCAGGCCAATGCAGTCCTCATCGAAGCACTATAAGAACCAATCGAGGGTTTAGGGTTTAGGGTTTAGGGTTTAGGGTTTAGGGTTTGCGGGTGCTATACCCTGCGTCTCTCTAGACCTGTTTGCTGTCAGTTGCTGCTGCTCTCCCTACCAACAGATACTGCAGCTAGCTGTAGCTAGCTGTA